CATTAGATTAACAACTAAAGCATTCGAAAGGTGTGATGTCGTGGTGCCATGTGGTTTCGAAAGTGCGTTTGCGTGAGTCCGTGCCATTGGGGAAGGAACACATGCTGGTGTAAACGCGGCATGTCATGGTGGACAGACAGGGTGGACAGTTAGGGTTGTTTTAGGATACGAATCTTTTCAGACTCACCCAAAATCGAGCAGTTTAAGGAGGCGGTGATGTAAATGCAAAAATAAGTCCTATTTATGGCTTTCTGACATGGATTTTGTTACATTTGGCAGCGTTTTCCCACACTTACTCGGGACTAATCCGAACTTCACTTATCCAACCTAGCCTTCCGAGGCCAAAGAAAGGTACCTGGTGCTGCAGCCATTTTAAATCCTTTGAGAAACAATGAGAAGCAATTCTTTTGGTACCTAGAACCTCCACGTCGCGAGCAAGCAGGAACAAAGCTTTTCTGATGAAAGGTAACAAAGATTGAAAAGGGAAACATTTCCTTCAAGAAAGGAGCAAAGCAGTCGTGAAAATTGGAAGACCGCGAAAGACTGCAGTGAATCACTCCTATGCTTCCACCTCAGGTTTTCTTTTGCACATGTTTTTTGACCTTAAAATCCTGAAAATCATTCTGCAGTGAATTTTTTTTAAAGATCAATTTCACAAATGAAGGTAGCAAGGCGGATAAACTGATCTCCCTGGCTTACATGTTGTTTGGCTTCAAAAGACGGCCCCAGTCAGGAAATGAAACTGGTTTATTCATCCATGGTCCAACTTTCTCTCCGGGAAATTCCACTACAATTCCGGAATTTCCGCTACAATTCCGGGAAATTATGCTACATTTGTTTCCCGCGAACTGTGATCAAAGTAATTCCACACGTATTGTGTCCGTATCATGTGATTGAGCTCGATTGTTTTTCTGGCAACTGAATTAGTTTGATACGCCTCAAGTAGAACATGCACTCTTGCAAGTGTTCATCAGGCCAGGCATCTTCACCAGCCTTCCTAGCATTATGAGCCCCGAGCGGCTACATGAGTACTCATGACATGATGCACTTCGAAGGTATGGTGGGACACCCAAAACACTTCAAATGCTTAAAGAAATAACCTGCGCCCCAGAAAAGAACCAAAATTGAACAACCTGTTTTTTTCCATGTTTTTCCACTTGTTCCTTTTTTTGTGGTACTTTCGAAGCGCTAGGTAAGGACCACTAAATTCTAAACCAATAGCGCTTGGACTCCTCGGCTATTTTCAATTCTGTGTCCCTTCGAACCGACCCCCACAGATCTGGTTGATGCAGAGCCTATCTGTTGCTCCAGGCTCTATTGAACTTGAGTGCGGATCCCAACGCACAGGATCATATCAACGAGACACCTTTGCACTATGCTGCCTTCAGCGGACATTTAGACTGTGTGAAGCTGCTTCTTTCACGCAACGCCAATGCATTTGCCGAGTCAGCCTTCGGTGAAACGCCTTTGGACTTGGCCGTGGATAATGTTGCGGAATTCTGTGGCCAGTTGAAAATTTAAGTTCAGCAGGTTTAGGCCCTTTTAAACAAGTACAGTATTATTTGATTATATGTTCGTTTGATTGAGCTATTTGCTTTCTGTACTTCAGCTGATTAGGCAGGGGTTTAGTTAAGTTTATGCTTTCCAACCTTTTTATCCAGCCTTTGTTCCAGTTGCATTGTAGACTTTTGCGTCAGTTTTTTTGCACTCTGACAGCCTCCCACCCAGGTGGTGTGGACACGCGTCGGATATGCACGCTTCTAGAGGTTTGGGAGGATGATCACTAGCTGAGAGGACGTGGACGGGCTGAGAGGACGTGGACGAGAGGCAGGCAACGCAACGGGGCCTTGGCGCGAGAAAAAGCACGCGTGCTTTGAAGGAAAGAGGAGGAGGTGTGCTTTGACGATGTGCCCGGGTGGAAAATCATGGATGCTTTAGTGGACCCCAAAAAGGGTCATATCTGTGAACAAAAAACAAGGCGGTCATCCTTGTCGCAGGTCTTTTTACCTTGATGGTTGGTGAAATCAACCTGAAAGGAGAATCTATACAGGTACAGTTTTTCCGTCAAGTCACCTCTGCTGAAAGCAGAGTGCTGTGTGTCAGCTGGCTGGCTTGCAGATAGGGTGTTGACCAAATACATTCGGATCCGCAAAAGACATCAAAAGACCCGTTCTTGCTTGCCCATTCTTTGCAACTTCATACTGACAGTCGGGAGGAAGATTAGGAAGGATGATCACAACCACCACTCTTTGTTGCAACATTAGCTAACAGCTGGGAGGCATTCGGCCATCTGCACGGCAATCAGACTGTATCCTGATGTGTCTGGTATATGTTCAGAGAGACTACAATGACTAGAACCATGTTTTCATATACAGGTAGCTTGCCACTTCTGGGCTTGGAACCTGTTTTGGACATGGATTTTCTTGGCGCTCATCGTAGTGGTTTGGACCAGTTCTGGGCGCTCGTCGTATCGCAGGCATATCTCCAAGTCTTTCGACGCTTGCTGGAGCCGCTCCCTGCGAAGGTTCCGGAACAAAAGCTACCAATTTGGGAGAGACTCGCTTCAAAGCTGAGCACAGGCAGTGGCATCTTGTACGGTGTGCACCACAGTGGCATTCGGACGTTGCAGTAACACTTGCTGTCCTTTGCATGGCTGCGTCGGCAGTCAGGAAGTACGCCCGAGTGGCACAAGCCACAGGCACCCCCAATGGAAAGGACCACCTGCCACACTTTTTGCGATACTTTGCAAGCCTGCAAGGATACCATCAAAGAAGACCCATGTCATTTGCCTGGCAAGATGTCATGTACAAGTATACCTTTAGCAGAACTTCTTCGCGATTCTGATGTGATGCAACACTTCCAAGCCACGTTTTTGTCCAGGACTTCTCCTGGGAAGCGCAGGACATCTTTTTTGGTGCCACGGCCGAAGACTTGCGCCAGCGAGGCCAAGGTGGGGTGGTCCTTGACTTGATGGATGTTCTTCAGACATGCATGTGACACCCAAACACTCCATGTATGCCATATATGCCTACATTGACCCCCCAAACCACCCCAATGTAGGTAAATATACCATACATGGAGTGTTTGGGACATGTGGGATGATGCAGGTTCTTGGCACCCGAGAAGAATCGGGTCCCAGAAGGCTCCAGAAATCCGAGAACCATCGAACAGCATCGGAAAACCCGCCATTTGTGAAGCATCGAACAGCTTGGTGCCAGGTTCAAGTTGATCTGCAGCTGTTGAGAAGAAATGACATTGCCTGTAGTGTCGTTGAATTGCAGCCATTCAGTGGTGCATCCTGGCACACCACAGCTGTGCTGTGCGAATGAAGCCTGCTCTAATCCATCGTCCGGGTGATGGTTTGACGTTCAGGTGCTCAGTGGTTGGCGAACATGGCGCCAAACTCGGACGAAGGATGATGATTTGTGTGTTTGCGCCATCCCCCAAGAACGTAGAGTTAGATATCTTGGACTCGGACGTTGTGGTTTTCTTCTATTCGAGTTCTTGTTGGGTTGCGGATCTTCAGGATCCGTTTTGAATCTTCAGGATCAGACAACTTAAAAACATCTTAAAAATTGGTGTTCTGTGATGTTCTGTGCAGGTTGCAGTGTGACCAGAGCAGTTCACCACCCCAAAAACATCCAAAAACGTTGGGCTGTGCTTCAAAGAGACCTGCGACCAGAACTTGCAAGCTAGTCCACCAGAACTTGCTCCATGGTTTGTCGGAAACACTGATTTGAGCACCCGACAGGTCTGGATGCAAACACTGATTTATCGAACGTTTTGATCCTTTGCGTCCGTAGACAGCCCATCTTCAACCCATTCTCCGGTCTAGAGCACGCTGAGAGCAGCGCACGATCGTGGATTTGCCGCCGACGCACCAGATTAAGAAAGGAACATACTGGATCATACAGGGCTACCCAGACTAACATAGCAACCAAGAGGAGCATTTAGGAGCATCACAGTTCAAACCTTTGTGTTAGTTGCTATGTGTCATACCGATGTCTCATACGATGTGCCATGTTGTGTTGGCAGCAAAAAAATATGTTTGTCGCTGGAACATGCGAGGTGGAACTTGTAGAGATCAAGTGGACAGGTGCTGGAAATGTTTTGAATAGACTCTGGCAGATCAACTTCCACCTCCCTATCAGGCTAGGGTGTCAGTTGCAATCTTTCCCGTCAGATGGGATTCTCGTACTGAAACTGATCCATCTGACGCTCTTTTGTCCATAGATTCAGCTGCCGGTGAACAGGGCGGGTCTGCAGACCCGCCGGAAAACCCGCGCGGAAGAATGTCTCCTGCATTGGTTTGCTTGTGATGATTCCGACATGGATTCACCAGACAGATTTCCCTTACCCTAAGGATCAAGGACCCTCAAAGGTGAAGGTTTGGTCCGGGTCCAACCCCCTGCGTTCTGCAGGGTCAGGTCACCCTCCAGTTTGGAGGGTCCAATGATTGGTTTAACTTGGTTTAACTTAGATGATACAAATTGATTCGATCCACAAGGGGCGGCACCCAGTTGTAAAAGGTTGGCATTGCATCCAGCAGTTGTTGGACCCCGTCTTTTGCAACGTGCCCAGCATGTTCTCACGGACTACGCCGATCCTGTTAAACAAAACGGATTCTCTGCCCGATAGATTTTTGTTTTTTCGGTCACGCCCGTACCTCGTGCGTTGATCAATAGAAGGGATACCCCTCGTCGTGTAGAACCAATAGTCCAATAGGTCTATGATGGCATATGGGTAGCTGGCATCGACCGATCATAGTAGCGAACCTTGCTCCTAGTGGTAAGGCCAGGAGCCCCTAATTAGTAAATTAGTAGCGTCCGATCGCTCCTAGTAGTAAGGCCAGGAGCCCTAGTAGTACATGTATATGATATGTTTCCATATGGTATCAACGTGTACCAAGTTTTCCATGGCAGCCATGTGTCGAGTTTCGATGGCATATGATGTCAGCTAATGTCCATGTTTGTCGGCGCCACCAGTCAAGCCTGCTGCAGAACACCATGGAGTTTTGTGCTCGAGAGGCGATGATTGGGTACTGGCGCTGCGGGCGCTGCTTTTGCGCTGCGCTGCGGGATGAAGTTTCCACCACGTTCTTTTGTTAAACTATGTTAAACTCAGGGGCCGTCCATGGGTTGAAATCACTGGTTATGGTGATATGGTTGTGGGTGAAAAGTAGGGAGGTTGACCCCAGGTGAAATGAAGAGATTTATCCCAAACATGGGACATTAACCTATCATTTTCCTGCGCACAAATGGCTGCTACCATGTGAGCTCTGGAACTCCAAATCACCCAGGATTCCTTCCGCGCTTCTCCATCCAAAGAAGATCAACTTTTAGGTAGGCGAAGCCGATGCCAGCTGTAGAACTCAAGTCGAAGCAAAGAAGACTCGCCCCTCCAAATCAATGGGCTGTGTCCTAAGTGTCTTGGCACATACCTATGTACAACATACCTATGTACAACATACCTATGTACAACATACC